TGGTGTGCGGACACTATCCTCCAGCAGAGCCTGGCCTTGTCGGCATCTGAGATTGGCAATCTCCTTGGAAAAGCAACAGAAAAGAGGAGAAGAGAGAAGGAGGCAACGCTCCTCATCCTGAAGTCAAGGCCCATAGCGCCTGTCAGTACCAGTTGAGCTGCTGCATCTTTTATGAGGAAAGCCCTGTTGCTTATTACAATATTTACAGACGTTTAAAGATTGTGAAGCGAGTGTTGTTACTGCATTAGCTTGCCTCGGTGGCCTTCGCTCACTAGCCCTGACAGAAGATTTTATTCTAGATTTGTTAAATCGAATCACTGCACAAAACTGCAAGGAGACAGAATTGTTTTTCCTGTGTCTCAGCGTTCATATGCCCAGCTGAAATGGAATCAGTTCCCCCTTAAAACCTTTATGAAGTTGTTTAATTTCATTAGCAACCATACATTGGCGATGCTGGCAAAAGGCCTATGCTACGCTCATGTCTGTTAAATCAGTAATATCATGACAGCGTGGTGTGTATGTACCGTCCATGTCACTTCTACAGCTCTGTTTATAGTCTGTAAGTGAATTTATCCCATCTGTTTCCTCAGGGGAGATGCTGTCCTACAGCAGTGCCGTGATCTTTGACACTTTCCATAAGGCACACACACAATATGGAGACGTGTAGATGCACTCACACTTCCATCATATCAAAGAGGAGAGAGAGGCTTCACCAAACCAGAGTTTAATCAGTGCCACCGCCTTTCAGGTATCATTTTAAATAGCAAGAAAGCAGCCTCATCTTAATAACATATCATTTTAATTTGATGCATATGCTACATTCCATCTATCCCTGTTTCCTTCCTTTTCTCTTTTTTATTGGCAGAGCAACCCACAGAGGAACGCTATCCATCAGACTAGCTCAGAGGGAGAAAAAAATAAAAACTTGAATAAATATTTCATTAGATTATTCTGTGATTTAATGTGCTTCTGCTTGGCTGGGGTCTAAGGCAATATCTCTGGTCCATTTATAAATGCATTAACACAATGGTACCCGACAATAGCTTAATATTGATACCCGACTGAGTTGGTCGGCAGATTGAAGCAGCGTAGGGATTGTTTTGTCTGTCTGTTGTGCTGAATCACACCTGCAGGAAAAAAAAGCTTTTCTTCCCTCTCCCTCCCTCTAGTTTGAAGTGCACGTTACTTAACCACACGAGGGAAGATTTGTCAACCTCAACCAAACTCAGAGGGTCAAATCTGTCCCGACAAATAGAGCAATTCAACAAAAGTCTGCACTGAAACAGATTCAGCATTGCTCTGAGTGCTTTTCATGTAGGCATCCACTTTTCAAGTCAATTTGAACAAAACTGAATAAAAATAAATAAATAAATAAAATCTGAAAAACAGCAACCTAAACTAAAAAATAAGACTACCGATTAAAACCTTATTTCTGCATATATGCATGTGTATAAACGTGCAAGTGTGCTCTGCATGCGCTATAAGTGGAAGCTAATTAGAGCCAGAGGGAGAAGTTTTCATAGTCTATGGTAAATTCAACATCAGGAAATCCTCTACCTATTAATACCAATTGGGCGACAATAATTGGCAGGCCATCGACAGCGTGGGCAGAATTAATCATTTGAAGAGGCAGACTAGACTGAATTTTTAATTGGCAGGGGCAGCCACTGTTTAGGGAGGCAACCAGCTGATCACCCAAGAGACTGCTTCTTCAGACAATGCACATTTGCTAATCCTCTTGAGTCAAGTTATTATGGCCATGCATTATTATCACGCTTTACAAACTAATTCCATGTTTTCCCTCATGGATTACCAAGGGGAAAAAATAGTTGCATAAGAAAAGAGGAAATAATAAACACACAAAGCACAATGTGCATGAAATGAAAATCAAAATGACAGAATATGTGTATTGACTACAAATGCACGACACTTGAATTATGAAAATAATGTGTTTGTGTGTGTGTGTGTGTCTGTGTGTGTGTGTGTGTGTGTGTCTGTGTGTGTGTGTGTGTGTGTGTGTGTATGTGTGTGTGTGTGTGTGTGTGTGTGTTTATCCCTCTGTCCATCAATGTATTTGTATAAATGTGCCTCTTTGAGGCTTCTGCTCCAGTGTTTCCAGTGTTTCCATCAGGATCCATACTCATAATCCTTTTCTGTTTAATAACATGATTAACTATAAAATAACCTAATCAGAGATCACTGACACATTAGGGTTTGATTATGTATTGTTAATTGTGTGGCCTGGATTCATTACATTTTAAGCAATTAAATTTAACCGAACAGTACTTATCTTAAATGAATTAGTTGTTTGTAAGTTAATGAATAAAGGTAAAGCTTTACTTTAAATAAGTATTTTTAGAATTAAGTTTTTATACTTTTTACTCAGATCGGAGAGACAATAAGAAAACTCCTGATTGACATACAGTAGAACTGCAGGATTTCTTTTTCTACTTTGACTATTACACTTTTATAAAAAAGGGGATTTGACTTACAAAGCTCTTTAAGATTTGAGTTTTACATTTCAAACTGTCAAGGGACCTGAGAAAGAGATCATTTCACTGAATACAACAGTACATTTACACATTTCAGAAAAATATTTTTTTCAGTTGTTAACTTAACCAGAACATTAATTATGTTATAACTGATAATAGTTAGTATAATAATATGAAGAAAACAGACGATAAAACTTTTCAAATGTAAAAACAATCTAGGTGAGCAAATAATTCACTATATTTGAGCCAAATTACTAATAAACTGGATTTATTTCCTAGTTGTATTTGCGCTATATTTTTCACTTTATACAAAGCTCTATTTTCTGTTCATGGAAATACATCTAAGAGCCTAAACTGTCTTTTCCCTGACACCATGATATGCCGACAATCACTCAGGAGCTAAATACTGCAATCATTATGCAACACAGGGCAATGACATTTTAGTGTATGTATGCACACACATGCACACGCAAACACATACTGATGAATGCCAAATGAGTGCTTCACTGAAACAAAACATGTCTTCCCTTCTACACACTGACAATATCAACTGTGGAATCAGGAGCATTTGCATCCAGGCTTCATGAAATATGTGGCTAATAGAAGCTATGATAGCATATTGTAATGAGAGTATGAATCCTTTATAAACCTGAACGTGTTTTTATCCAAATGTGATCCCAGAGATTTTCCACCAGAGCCGATATTTTAGATCACCAGCTAATTTAAACAGGCACATAAAAAATAAAAATCTATATATTTATATTATTTTTGTTTGTAGGATCTCCCTTGGTTTCTGTTGCTTTAATTTTATCTATCATGGTCTTATTTTAAGTCCATTTTAATGACTAATGACTATATAGGGCAAAAATACCATTCTATTTTTGATATGGCCTCAATACAAGGGCTTTGTGACAGTTGTGGGCAACCTTTGTGATGATAACAAATGTAATCTTTTGATGGTGATTCTATATGTCATAGAAGACATGACATTGTTTGCAATGTTTGCAAATGGCATTTACATTATTGTCACAGACTGTCGTTTGTCTTTTCTAAATGTCACTGCAATAAAAAGGCTTATCTCCTGTACTACCATCCTTCACATATCAACATCTGTTCTGCGGGAGTGCAACATGAGGATGGGGTTGGGGGGTTGGGGGTTGGTGTGGGGGTACGTATCTGCTCCCAATACTGTGACAAAGTGATCACGCATTAAATCACAAATGTGCAGAAGAATAGAGCGTGTCACAACTCTTGTTCAGACAGTGTTGGGTTTTCTCCCTTTGAATAATGAGCACGGTGCTGCAAAATAATATCAAGAGCGCACTGACCCAATATAGGCTTTTAAAATGATGATTACAATGAAATGAATGATTATGATAGTGGTCACACTCATTATTATCATGGAAGTCTCCTAATGTAGAAATGATCCTGTGATTATGTCAACCAATATACAGCCCTACAGCTCCCTACAGGCTATGGGTTTCTGCCTAACCTGACAAATACAAATGAAATGTAATCAACAAAATTAAAGTTGGTGATGATGATGGTGATGATGATGACGTCTACACTGCGTGGATCGACTGTGAGAGGTGGGAAGTGTGTGGGGGGGAGACCACGTATTGTGTAATGGTTTTCCCACCCAGGCAGTGATGTACACCGTACATCCCTGATAACCAACTTCATTATGGAAGGTGGAAGTTGTCACTGTGTATAGTGAGCAGCAGAGTGGATTTACACCCTCTGCCTCCCTCTCAGACTTCCATTTGAGCAGAAGCAGCGGCGGCAGCATCACTGCCCACTCTCCGCGCATGGCGACGTCCGTCATCTTGCGACAGTTCTTGCGCCCTTTGGAGACACTGTGAACTGATTTCGCCGTGTCGGGTTTTCCACCCAGCCCCATCCGCACATGGGGGAGATGTTAAAGAAAGCTTATGGATGAATAAATGATGCCGCCCCTCCGCAAAAGACGGGGACTGGCAGAGGAAGGCTCTTTAAAAATGCATCCTTTCCAAGCGCCTCTGCCCCACTTAAGAGCGCGTCAAGAAAATACTGTTCAATTGCAATAAAAAATACAGAACACGTCCAACCTATCATTCCTGATACTGCTGGCCTTCTTAGTATTTGTAATCTCCCATTTTGGTTGTCCGTGTAATGAAAAATGTGGAATTATCGAGATGAAAATACAAACCCTCCAAAACATTTTGAGATTGTGAAATAATAATAAGAACTTATCCTATTATATAAAGATTGCTGGGACAAAATAACAAAGCTCATTAGATGAAAATACGGAAACAATGATGCACATTATGATATTATTGTTTACATTTGTAGACTGATACAATATTGTAGAATAAGCCTGATAAAATTTTTTAAAAAGTAATAAATGGGCTACGCGTGTTTTTCGCGTCACTATTTCAACGCAAATGAGTTCAAAATGTACAGGTAATAATAAGCAATATTATTAAGCTGAATATGGGCCTCGCAGCCATTCGAGGGGCGACACGTTACCTTTGTGCATGCCGGTGTATCGGTCCTTGAGAACTGTCAGTTCGTGGATTTTCCCAAACTGTTCAAACAGGGGTTTCAGGTCTTTTTCTTCCAAGTTCCGCGGTATCTGCCCGATAAACAGCTTAATGGCATCTTGGTCTTTCATGTTGCCGCTCTCCGGATGAATTGAAATGGGTTCTGACCCGTTCATGGGTTTCGGAAATGTGATCTGAGGGTACTGGTGCTGATGTGGGATAAGTAGTAGTGGCTGTTGGCTCGGTGGTGCCCCCGGTCCGGTGAAAACCAGGCTGGAGTGAGCGGGCTGGGGCTGCTGTGGATGGTGCTGCCTTCTTGTTTCAGTCTGAGTGAATCTGGCCATTCTGAGCTGGGAGCAGAGTGGATAATAATGACAACACACACACACACTGTGAGAGAGCAAGCACTCAGCTGGAAACCAGGCTGACTTTCTTTCCGACACACAACACACACGCACACACACAGTACAAGACAGGAGTGTGTGTGTGGGGGGGGGGGGAGCGATAGGGAGCGCAGGAGCGATATTAGGCGCTCTGGAGCGACACCCAGTGTCAGTTATGCAGCACTGCATCTTAATAAAAGCCCAAACATGCTGCCGAGTGTATGAAACGTGGCCTCTGACCAGCTTTTTTTTTTTTAACATGACTGAGCATGTTTAAAAACTGTCCTAAACAGTGGTGGAAGACCTGTTGCAAGTCTTTGTGCACACAATGTAAAATACTCCACAGGCCTTTTTTTCTCAGCAGACATTTTGTCTTGTCATAGCAGGAGAAGTGCAGGTGTTACTAATAACATTAATGGTGGCTGCTTTCTATTTAAGTGTCCCAGTAAGCCAAGACAGCCATCATTAAGTTTATGACTGAAACCTGTTTGTTTCCTTCTGTGAAAAAGCCTATTACAAGTGAAAGCCCTTCATCTCAAATGTTTCTTCAATTGAATTGAAGTATTTATTGGCAGTAACGTGAACTCAAGTCATACTACACAAAATTATAGATGTGTAACTTACTGACTATAATACTTTAGTGTAAGTTGTAGACCTGTGCTGAGTAGTTAAAGGGTAGTAAAACGCTGACATATGGTAAAGTAAAATCTACAAAGTTACTGCAGAGGTTGGATAAAATTTTATTGAAAACTGCTGAAACTTGTAGATAAATTATGTGTTAATTAGTGATGAAATATTTCCCTCTGAATTGTGGTGGAGATAAGTATGAAGTCTCACAAAGTTAAAAGTGCCCCAAAACTGTACCTCAGCTGTGCTTGAGTAAATGTCCAGAGATACTTCAGGTCTACAAGTAGTAATCCATTGGTTCTTAAATCTTAATGATAAAATCCCTCCACTAACAGTGTTTAAAATATAGCTCTATTTGAAGAGGAGAGTGATCAATTCAGGCTTTTCGCTCATTTTTTAGTTCTGTCGTCAGGTTGTGGTTTGACAAAACTTTAAAACTTTCTAAACAACAATATAATGTTAAAATGTCACTTTTACTGATTGCAGCATCATCTACATCATCAGTTTTAGCTCTAAATGCTTGTTCATAGTGGTGAAATACATACCTCTATTAAGAGTACAAATACAGACAATACAATACAATACAAACTGGTATGTGCCTCATCTACCACTGTAGGTGACCATGCGTCTTGTACAGTCGATGCTGCTGCAAGTGACAAGAGCACTATTTATAAATGAATGGTATTGCTATCTGCAATCTGTCATTAGATTGAGTCAAGGGACCTGCAAACATTAACCACAATTAGGAGACTTACTGTAAGTACTTTTCAAATAGCAAGCATGCTAATCCCCCAAGAGGGGGTTTATTTGCATCATTTGCCTTCTCTTTGCAGACACTGTCAATAGCACTCAGATCCAAATCCATAACCCCAAAAAATCTCATGTAACTGTTACTGAATGGAGAACAACAAAGCTAATGCATAACAGGCCGCATAGTTTGACTTGCAACTTAGCCACAAACCACTCTTTAACTAAAACACATCCGCCGGACAGATTTCTAATTACAGCCAATTTAACAGTGGATTAAATAAAGTGATATATACTGTCTGTGACAGCAGGCTCAAGGCTGCGAGGTGAATCAATACTGCTGCTGCTGCTGCTTCTCTTACTGTGGAGGAGCAGCACCACGGGGGTCCCCTCCCAGAACTTTGACGTACGAATGGCTGCATCCCTGTGTGGGGAATCGCCTTCAGCTGCCTCCGTCTCTCTGAATTCGGCAGTATACCTGTGAAGCAAGGGAAGGCTCACATCCAAAGGGCCTCGGTATGCAGTAGAAATAGACTGGTCAACAATGTTCAGGGTTGAGAAGTTGAGAAGACATAGGCTGTCCTGAGAAGATGGTTGTTTTCACTGGGAGGGAAGTGGGGATAATTTCAGCTCTATTGAACTCTGCTCATAATATTTCTTTCTGCAAAGCTCAATAAGTGCAAGTGTAGAGGAAGAGACATCAGCAGGCAGGGGTACACATTGACATGCAGTCAATAAAACAGTGGGTGGTAGCTACACAGACAAGGGGCATTTTTTTATTGTAAACTTGTTCTTTTGAAATGTGAATGTAATCCTTTGAAGCAGTAGGTCCCAGAGTGCCGTGCGTGATACAGTTGCTGAAACTGCTGTTTGTTTTCGATTAGTCGCGGGGCTGTTTTATGCTTCGTTCATCGTGTTATAAATGTATTGATTAAAAGAGGCAGGGTACTCACTGGATGTGGCTGGCCACCTGAATGGGAGTTGCCAGGGACAGGATTCAAAGTAGATGTGTTTGGCGGATGGCTCAGCATGTTAGCCCTCATACATCTGTAGTGAGAAAACAAACAGGGACGCAGTGCAGCTCATATTGAATAAAAGTACTGCGCTGTCATGGCACTGGCTCACCGGACTCTGAGGGAGGTTGAGTGGCTATTTTTAGGGATGGGGTCAGCACAGGGGGAGGGGTATTGAGAACTTCCACTTCATGGTTTTTTTATTGACCAATGCCATTAGTGTTTCGTCAGGCTGAAGGCAGAGACAAGAAATCAATAAAGGTCACACTATTAGTGCAAACTAAAAAGTTACATACAATTTAACTGGCTGGCGCTTATTCTGCTGCTTGTTAACCAGTCTGGACCCTGAGAGGGAGGCAGCCTCGGCTTGATCTGTTCAGCTTGGGAAGTCTGGAAGGCCCAGAGGGAGACAAAGGCAGCTAAGGGAGTCATTTTGCATTCTGTGTGCACTTGTAGAAATACAGTCAAGACAGGCAGCCTGACACACACGCACACACACACTTCCTAATTAACCAAATTCAACATTATTCTCCACATCCAGTTACTCACTTGCATATTGTGCAACCAGAGCAATGCACATAGTAAGCATAAAATAGCATACAGTGAAAACACAGTTTAGCTTGCCATATGCTATCTAGTTAGTTGAAGTCTATGAGTTGCTGTTAAGGGAAAGCTTCTTCTCTGCTTGGGCTGGCATGCTGAGGTTCTGAAAGTGTAAGTTGTGGTTTAATAAGCGATAAGAGTTGGAGGTGTCCCCTGGTGCCTAATTCACCATTGCACTCTGGTTATGCATTGCAAAGCATGCTCGTTCAACTGTAAGGTGTTGTTCAAGAAAATTATGGAGTGATGTGATGATGGCATATCACACTGGAGACAGTTTTATGGACCACTGACTTAACAGGCTGATGAGATGTGATAAGAGCAGGCTGAACTGTGGAGGTCCCCCGGTCTAAAAGTAGTGTTGAGCTTTTCGATAAGCTTTTTCACTAAAGAGCACTCCAACATGTCTTTCCTATGATCATGAAAATAAACTAAAATTCCACTTTATGAGTCTTCTCATGAAATTTAGCAATTTGAGTTGACAAAGAGCTGCACCCAGAAATTATTGTTCATCCTGTAAATGCTCTTATTTGTGGAGTGTAAATAATCAGCAGACAGAGAGATGATTTTAAAAGCATATAAACTATTCAAGCGTTTGAGCACTATGATTTCACATTTTTCCAATTCCAATTAGAACATGGATGTAGTCATTAGAAGAGAGGGGGAAGAGAAGTGGACTCACTAGCTGTCTTAATAATCATCCACCATCTATAGACTAAAATAAATATTTTTTTCTGAAACATCCAGTGGAATATAAAACGGCCCTCTTTCGTACAGTACAATTTGGCCAAATAGACTAATAAATCTAAAGATCTCTTACCATTACAGATTAAAATGTAACAATTTCTCTAATCCCCAGTTATCTCAGTCAACATTAGATATTATTTGATTGTGGTTGGTTTATAGCAGCTGGCTTGTTTGGAGTGGTGGAAATTAAGTACATTTATTGAAGTACATTTAGGAGGATCTAGTGGCAGAATGGAATATAATTTTCATAGGTATGTTTTCTTTAGTGTATAATACCCTGAACATAAGAATCTTGTTTTTATGTTTTTATGTTATGTTAGAATGAGCTGTTTTTATTCACAGGGGAGCAGGTCCTCTTCTAGGAAGCATGTTTCTAGCCAAGAACAGACAAAGCGAACACTGGGCTTAGAGCTTTTCATGTTTTTTTGGTAGTTTTGCAGTCACTGTAGTTCTTCTACATCCTTCGAAAGCAGTATTGGTTGCAGTCTGCCACAAAATCCTACACACTGGTCCTTTAAGATAAAATAAGACTTTATTGAACCCCAGGGGAAATTCACAAGCTACCCATGCATCAATAATTATAATCCAATGATATAATAAACATGAATTTGGCCACTCTGAATAATACAGAGTACTTTTACTTTAGGCACAATATTCTGATTCTGATACTTTTGAACTTTTATTTAAGTAAACTCTTCAATGCATGATTTTTACTTGTAACAAATAATTTATCTCCTGTGGTACATATACTTACATTATACTAAAACATATGAGTACTCTTTCCACCAGTGCTGATTTGGTTCAAGCTTTGCGCAGACTCTAATACAGGATGTGGTTTCCTCCTACTGAGCAGGTTGTTCTCGGTTCACCGAGGGCTCTGAATCAGACAATTTTCTCCTGCACTCTCGCTGTGAATTACATGAGTTGTAGGGTAAGAAATAATGAACCAATTTTGATACACCGAAGATTAATTTTATCATCCAAAAATGGCCACTAAAAGAATCCCATCACCCACTGTGATTGTTGTCGTTTTGTTGAATGAGAGAGAAATGGTCTAGCCTGCAGAGCAATCTTGTCTTTTTTGCTAATCTAAGTCACTGCTGTGATCTGAGTTGCCTCCACAACTACCTCACTTTCAAGATTGTCTGGACTGCTGCTGTTAATGCAGTTATTTCCAGCAAAACATTATTATATCAACAGACGACATCGTCTGGCTCAGTCTTGTCCATTTTGTAGAAAGAATATTTATCTTTTATATCATACAAAGGTATACTGCTGGCAATAACACAGAATGGCAAGTAAATCCTTGATTGTGAGAGG